ATGATGATCATATAGTGAAGGCATATTTTTCTTCCGACTTGAGACAGGATATGACTATATATTAATGAGACTGAATAAACCAAGCCACACATGAAAACTTGTCTCATTACTTTATAGCCATGCCATGTATGTTTTTTAAAGCATAAAATGACAATAAAACTGATTTTTGAAATGAGTGTTTTGGATAAGTGACTTCTGTCTGATCTTACAGCATAAAGAATATGTGAGGCTCTTCCCCAAAGGAGCAGCTGCTCAGAAGTGAGTGGGGCTTCCAGATCAGCCACAAAGGGCACCTCACACTTTGTTCTTGGTTCAGTCTTACAATACACTAAAAGAAAAGGCAGTATTTATATCTGGCTGATGTTAGTTTATCACTCTCATACTGAACAACTCTTGTCTGAACAATTAGCTTTCTTCCATGGCCACAAACAGGGAACATTATCACTGGTTGAAACCATTACAGCCAATGAACTTTCTCTAGCATTGATTTCCATAACTCACTCCTTGTGTTGCTTTGAAAAAAAAAAAAAACATGCTATGAGACAGTGTTTTGTGTGTGAGTTTAGTGGACTCATTGTCTTTGGTAATACAACCGTACTTAAAAGAGGGTGGAATAGCTCAGTCAGTCTGAAAATGTAACACAAGCATGAAGATCTTAATTAGATTCTCAAGACTAACACCCAAGATTTTACACACACATAAACACACACACAAAAAATAAACAGTAACTATGAGTTTACAGCTACAATCAATATTTCAAATGAACTTAGACACACACACACAAAAAAAAATGGAATACAATGTTACTATTTTACAGCAACTCTTAATTCAAGTACTACTCACATACAGACAGTCCCCCAAGGCTTCAGATCCCATCTCTACCTGGGCTCCACTAACCCATCAGAATTACACTAAGGCAATCACTTCAATTTACATATTCTTGGTTAATTTTTGAGACAGTAGTTTGACTCACTGCTGAAGCAGTAATATATAGAGAGCCAAATACACACTAATAAGTCTGCCTATTATAAAGGATTCTATGAACACTATCTCCTAGTGCCTTTAGGTAGTTACTTGGGAATGGATTTGTGGTTACTGTCTAATAAATTACTGCAATGGGGCAGTTTCTGATAATTTAAAAGTGAGAATCCAAATTGGCCTCTAGGGTGTTACAATAACTAACTAATGGCAGAACAGTCCTTATTCCCTCCTGAGCAGACCCATTTCATAGTTAAAAGTTACATTGAGAAGCTTGTAAAGGCATTGGAGTCAGATATACTGTCGTACATCTTTAATCCCAGGATTTAGGAGACAGAGGCAACCAAATCTCAAGTTCAAGGCTAACCTGGTCTACAGAGTAAATTCCAGGACAACCAAGACTACATATAGATCCTGTTTCATTAAAAGAAAAGGAGGGCAGACAGGCATTGGTGTCCCAGGACTCAGTAAGTCTAAATGACTTCTACAGCAGCCTGTGTACTAGTGATGGGCTTTCCACTTGCTCTGGGGAGAACAAAAACATGATCATACAGTCGGTTGAGGGAGTATTGCCAGGTTCACAACCTACAGCAATTTCACTGGCTAAATCACTTGACAACTGTGCTTTGAGGCTGTGGGGTCTGGCTGTTAGTAACTCCTATGACATTATTAAGTGGAACCTCCTCAGGGATCTTAGGGAGATGAAGACTACAAGTAAACTTGTCAGCACAGAGGCAGTAAGCACTCCAAGACATGCACCATTGATGAGGAGTATATACTGTGGTTGTTAAGGATCTTGGAGCACTGGGTTGTCAGGGCAAAGGCTACACTCAAGAGGTGAAGACAGGACAATCAGAAATCCAAGGCCATCCTCAGCTACAAATCAAGCTCCAGGTCCTCCTGAGATGCATGCATCTACGTCTAAGAAAAAAATATATTCTGGGTATAATTTAAAAAGCAACACTGCAATGACTTTAGAAGGAAAAGATTTCAGTTAGTATACACACCCTAACAGGGGTCTATACAACAGTTCACTTGCACCAACTTTTCAAATAAATACCCTGCAAAAAGTCTGCTATCATTTTTTTTAAGCTGGGGGGGGGCGTTCTAAGCCCAAATATTAATGAGATTAGAACTTGCAGGCAAATTGTGTGTGATCCAACTATCAGGTGTATTGTTGCTTCTGGAAACAGGCTGCTTCTGACACAGGCTACTGTTAGTGCATCTGCAGAGGACCTAATCCAGTTCCTCACTGTTTTGCTCCTTGGCTGTACCCTGGATATGGTCTGGGGGAAGTTTTAGCATCCCACCCCACGAGCAGACTGGTCTGGGATGGGCCTAAGAACTGCATTCCTGAAAAAAAGATCTTTAAGTATTACTAAATGTGTACCTAGACTACAAACCACTGGGTAAATTACATTTTTATGTTTGTGCAAGGGATGAGAAAGCCAGTGGTAATTAAACAGGCTGGAATTTCCCAAGGAAATGTCAAGACCCAGCACTCAATCATAACAGCAACTATAAAAACAGTTAAGCAGCTCAGAGACAACTGGGCTGGGAGCTGACAGCCCAGGTGAAACTCCAAGTTCTGCATTTCGAAGTCAAGACTACCCACTCTCCTTCATTACATTATCTTCTCTAATAACCATTAAGACAAAAATAAACACAAACTGCTTATGACTTGCTCACTAACAGGTTTCTCAGCCACAAACCGGTTTAAAAGTCACAACCACCAGCTGCCAGGTCCACCCACAAGTCACAGGCACTCAAGGGAAAGAGCTGAAGGTCAAGTGGGGGGTGGGGGGTCCGCAGCTCTCCTGAACGTCTCCAGTCCTTCCTCCCAGGCCTCTCCAAGCAATATAGCTTGTACTTTGGGAGGGGAGAGTATATCTTGATAATACTTTTCATTCCCACTACAGTAAATGTAGAAGTCAAGAGGAAGGTGGCTTTTGGAATCTGGAAACAGATTACAAAGGACACTTTAGCCACTGAGAAGTTTCTGTAGTTCTGTCGCCCTTTCTCTTTGATAAAATGTAGATTTTTCTGCTACCTGGTCAGTAAGGTAGCCCACAGTAATAGGGTCCATTTGGAACAAATTCAGATACTATTGATTTCAGAGGGAGTTTGCTAGTTTTGACTCATAGTCATATAAAATTTCTTTTTAAATACTTACTTTTAAATTATTTTTTTGGGTGGTGGTATGTGCATAAATACTAGTACCCAGTCGTGAGCTACAGGCATGGCGTGGGTGCTGGGACCTAAAAAAAGAGCAGTTAAGAGCACACACCTTAACTGCTGGAGCCATCCCTCCAGTACCCCATATAAACTTAAGGAAATGGCAGTTTTTAAAGAAACAGTAAGTAACCAATGGCTTCAAGATTGAATGTTTCACATCTCCAAAAGTATTATTAAAAAAAATTTTTAAAGGCCAGGATGTAGCACCTATGTTCAAAGCCCTGGACTAGAGTGAAAGGTGCACTTAGCCAGGACAGGCACACTCCCTCACTCACATGTACAGAACTGTGTCCTCTGCCACATTCACTTCCTCTCAGCTTGTCTTTTTGTTCCTATCCTAATACTTAATTCTCAGCCAAGCTCACATTTCAATGTCTACAAATCTTAATCTTGGGGCTAGCACTAAGTAACCACAAAATTAGATAATGGCTCATCCTTATATACCCCAATTGTCTTAAAAATACTAAAATTTGCTTTATAAATTAAATGCTGGAGGCTGATATAGTAAAAGTCAGTAAATATGTTGTTAATCTTAGAATGTGCCAAGATCAAATTTAACAACATATGAAGCAGCAAGGAAATTCCGACACATGGGAGGTGAGTATGTGATGATGAGTCAGGGCTGGGGAGACAGCTCAGCAGTTAGGAGCACTGGCTGTCTTCAGAGGGCCTGAGTTGGGTTCCCAGGACCCACCAGCTCATCACCATCTGTAACTCCAGTTGCAGGATCTGATGACCTCTTCTGGTCTCCATGAGTACCAGGCATGCATATGGTGCACATAAAGAAAAGGGTGTATAAACATAGACTCTGTAGGTTCAAATGAATTAAACTCATCACAGAAAATGAATTGTTCACATTTAAAATATGAATATCCTGAAAGTCAATGCACCTGAGTACACAAAAACAGAAGGTATAGTGGTCAGGAAGGGTGCCCACTGGACAGTTAGAAACAGACACTGTACACGACCTACTCTGCTTTACCAAGAATACAGTGTATACGCTCACTGACTAAAGGATGTATCTTTGCCCTGCGAGGTGGTAGACACAGAGCAATTCAGAGCAATGCTCACACCAGGGAAGACAAGAATTGCACTTTGCCTTATAAAACTAGTTTGACAATGGAAAAATCATTTTTTTTTTTTATTCTGGTGGCTCTCTACAGAAATACAATCACTTTAAGTAAACAAGTTTTACACAATGCTATTAACTGAATTTTCAAAAATTACAGATTTTTGATTCTTTAGCAAAACTGACTGAATAACCAATTCTCCAAGAAATTATTCATGAATAACCATGCAAAGATTTAGGTGTACAGATGTATGTATAACGACATTTTCCTATTAACATTTTGGGGGATTTTTGTTGTTGGTTTTTGTTTTTGAGAGTGTCTTGTAACTGAGGCTAACCTCAAACTCAGGTCTCGAGTTCCTGATCATCCTCCTCCTGCCTCCCAAATCTTGGAGTCAAATCTACATGTGCTACACCTTGATAAAAACATCTTTAAGTTAGTTAAGCTGCATACTCCACTAATTTATTTATTCATATTGATAAAAAACAATATAAGCTGGGCAGGGTGTCACACCATTAATTGCAGCACCCGGGATCAGAGGCAGAACCTCAGCAAGTGTGAAGCCAGCCTGGTCTACGTAATTGAGTTCAAGGCTAGCCAGGACTAAATGTTAAGACCCTGTCTCAAAAAACAAAACATCAAACAAACATCCAATAGTAAGGGACTGTTTTAAGAGTACAACTGTGTAATAGAATACTATATAGTCACCAAAAGTCATGCTGTCAAATTAATTTTTATTAAAATGGAATATTCTCAATACATGAATTGAAAATAGGTTATAACATAGCAATGTCCATTGTAGCCAGCCTTGAAAGACGTTAACTTTGGTAAAATTACAGATATTTTTCCTTTTGTTTCCCAGTCTCTTCTATCATTAGAAATTATTAAATGTTTTAAATTTCCTAAAAGTGATTATATAATTAAGAAAACTACTATGAAAATATATGCTTATAGCTAACTCTGACCTTTTTTTATTGCCTGGATATTAATGTAATCATGATGCTCATTACTTTGGTAAAAATCCAAGAAATCCAAACACATTTGGAAATGGTTTAAATGATATAAAAGTCATCATTTTCTCAGAAAACTTAATAAAATTTTAAAGACACTACTTTGTTTAGCAAAAGAATTTATTAGGGTATATTACAGAGCACAATCTGGCTTTCAAAAGCTGTTTCAGCACACAGCACTGCAACTCATACTGCAAAGTCTATGCTTCTGGGGCCACACTTCATTGCGCGGAACAGTCAGCAGTGCACACTTATGGTCATTTAAAGGAAGATAATGGAGATGATGTGGTGGTTGTTACCAGAACAGCACAAACAGATACAAAACTTCTGGAATGTTAAAATAATGAGTAACTACTACTGGGCATTTCTACAGCCAGAAACATGGATCAATGTGACTAGCAAGTTAAAGGACCCAAGGTTCCAAAGTCAAGTCAATACTGAGTCATGAGCAAGAGAACCCTGAAACTTCCCAAACTAGTAAGTTCATACACATGCAAAATCAATGTGGGGGGGGAAAAAAAAAAAAAAAGCCAGGGATGTAAAAGCAATGCTAAAGAGATTGTGTTAAGAGAAACACAAAGCATGCATATTCTAACTCATTATTTAAAAGTTCATATTTTAATTCAGTTAGAATACATTAGGATAGTTAACAATCACTAACTATTCTGAACTGCTCTTACCAGTGCCCTGCCAGATATGGAACACAGACCTGTTAATTTCAAGAATAGTGGAGTTCTCCCAAAGACATAAAACCGAAACACTTCACGCTATCACCTACTTTCTTCTTTTAAACTTTAAAGGTAAGTTATATAAAACCAACTTTAAAACGCCATTTACTTCCCAGGTGTCAGTGAAAACAATGCAGAGAGAGAGCATGATGCATCATTAGTTAGCACAGAAACAGCAGTCTAACAAAATGTCAGTGGAGGACCACAATCTCACACCACTGTCCGTGGGACGCTGAACTGAAATGAAGGTGTGCCACTGGTACTTGAAACTATCTCCAAACTACTGCCATCAAAATCTAAACACAAGCTAATTAAAAATGCCCGTAAAATATTGTATCATAAAGGCCCAGAAACACAGAAATAAAGATAAAAAAATTGTACGGAAATATTTTAGGACTGTAATCATAACCTAACAAAACTTATTACTGACTAGTGCAATCACTGTGGAGTTGAAATCTCTGAATTATTCTGCCTATCAAAACTCACCTCACAGAGCACCTCCTGTGAGTAAAGGAGTGAGAGTCCTCACAGAGTGTGTGCTCCACATGATCCATCACCACTGAACATCTGTTCAACTATTTAATATCCTGAAAACTGTATCTAGAATCAAAGTTATCACAGAATTTATTTTTCTGGATGCCAATGAAAAGAACAGTTGCCAGGGCTCTCTCAACTCACCTTTCATAAACGTTAACATATTTTAATGCTGAAAAAGAAACTCTAGTCCCTGATAACCTAAGAGATAACATCATTACTTAATTTCTCTCACCTTCTGTCAGACACCAGTTAAAAGACCCAGAATTCTGCAGCATAACTACCAATCGCTGACTTAAATTAGCACTCCCTTCATTGTAGGCACTAGAGAATTTGTGCAGCGTGAGAAGAACTTCATCACAATTGTACAGTTCACCAACAACCTGAAGCCAATAGAGTAGGTCATGTATTCTTAGTCCCCAAAAAAGGTCGCTACCTAGTAGCAATTTTCCAGTTGGCACGAATAATTTGCCATCACTGAGAGACAGAAGGTATAACGAAAGAACATAATTTTTAAAAAGCTAGCTTTCTCCCCAATTGCTCGTCTAAACTCAACAAAGTTTTGATCTGGCAGAGTTATAATCTAGCAAATGAAACTGCTATTGCTTTTTTCTAGGTGGGGAGAGAGGAGCACAAAAGCACAACTCACAGTGTCAACACATACAGTGTGCCCTTGATCTGCTGACAGTAGGCGAAGAGCACCTACAAATGTGAAGCTAAGTCTTACTCATGGTGATCTGCTTTCTTTCTAAGCAATTACTCAGATATGTACTTATCAGGGACCTGTAATTGATTTGTTCTATTAATATCTGAAATATTAGTGGCAATAGATGTTTAAATTTATACAGTTAGTTAGAAGATCATAAAGGCCATACTTTACTCTTCAGCCTGACAGAATAAATGTATTATACATATAGATAGAGATGTCTTCCCACACCAGCACTTTCCCACTTAAGAAGCTGTCCATCTTCCAGTATCCACATCAGAACACATTCCTGATTAAAAACACGCATTCCATTACACCCTTGATTTTCCCTTGAATTTGTTTTATTGGGGGTGGGGATTAGATATAGAAGTTGCAGTGCACAGCTATATGTAGAACAAAACATTATATCCTACAATAAAAAAAAATAATTTTATCAAAACCAGATTTCGATCACAGTTGTGTCTGATTTTTCAGTAAGGGTACATGTTGAATTGCACTTTGCAGACATCTTGATAGTGTCCTGAACAGCGCTGCCCATGCCTGTCAGCCTATGTTTTTTTCGGTGGACACAGGTTCTTCCAAAGCTTTCTTCTGGCTCCCCTTCCGAGAATATTTGTACTTGTCTACATAGGCTTTAACCAGATTTGCCACTTTAGTAGAATTGACTTCTCCACTCTTACTATGACAAACCTAAAAGAAAGGGGGGAAATGTTTTCATGCTCAATGCCAAATGGATAATACTCTGAAAACCCAAAAAATTGCATCTTGTTTTCATGTGTACACCTTACTCAAAGGTAAAGGAACAGATGAGAACAGCATCTAGCATTCTTCTACTAGACTGGAGTAGTCTTTATTATAGCAGCGGTGGTTAAAATACGCCATGCTGCAGCTACACTTACTTTGTCCACTGCTTTCCGTACGATCTCTTTGTACTCTTCCTTGGTGATGTCTTTATTTTGGTAAAACGGCTTAATAGCCAATTTTACTTCCTGTGCTGCTTTTTCTTGAATTTGCAATTTCTGATGAGAAAAAAAAAATGTGTAATTATTTTTACCTTCCAGTCTTACTCTCAAAAACTCTAGAAATCTATGAAACTAAAAACAGTATTTTGACATTGTGAATAACTTAACAAATGTATGGCATAAATGAATATTTAGTAACATATATCAAACATCTCTAAAAATGATTATGCAATATTGCTACTAACTCACCAAGCATCAACATCATCTATACAGAATCCTTCAGGTAATAGCAGAATTTTAAATTCCCAATAGCAAGTCCCCTCCATCTCTCATAAAATCAAAGCTGTTATTTGTTCATCTTTTATTATATACAGAATTGTGTAGGTTGCTCTCAACCTTGAACTTGCCTTGTCTGTCTTCGAGCTATCTGCGCTGGCTTCCACTGGAACACTTACTTTGCTTTCTGCCAATTTTACAGCAGCATTAGAGGCTTGGACGTGACTTGATGATGAAGTATTACCAGAAGTTGGTCCCTGAACTGATCCTGTGTTTCCTGGGGCTGCTGCTGCAGCAGGTAAGACTTGTGTAGTCATGTTATTACTTACATGACAAGCACTGGGAAGGCCCTGTTTTAAAGAGTAACATCTGTCAATGGAGTACTGTACTCAAAAGAAGTATCTATCTCACATCAGGAACGATATTAAAAAACACAAAGTAGCTGGATATGGTGGCAAACCCCCCCCCACACACACACACACAAACCCAATCGCAGCACAGAATGAGTTCCAGGACAGCTAGGACGATAGAGAAACCCTGTCTCAAAGAAATAAACAAAAATGATAGAGTGATTCAACCTTATTCTTGAGAGAAGTATTTATTTTAGGAAATGTATACATAAAGGACCAGCTGAAGAAAAGTGAATACATTCTTAAACAGAACTTTTATTTAAATGAGTTCAATGCCTTTTAAATTATCTATGTGTGGATGGCAAGATGACTCGACTCAGTGAGTCAAAGTGCTTGCCACACAAGCCTGAAGGTTCAATCCCTGGAACCCACAAGATTCTCTGACATCCACAAGTCCACTGTGGCAGGCATTATGCCTACACTTACACATACATACAACAATGAAAAAATAAGTACAGGAAAAATGACAAGCACCACAATGTTTGCAAAATATCTGCATTTTTGGTCTCCCATAGGGATTCATCTCTTCTTAGTGCAGTAAATTCAAAACAAATGGTAATGGATAATGTCTTTGCCCAAGGTTTACCCAAGCAAGAGAGCACAAGCCTTACGACAACTGTTACTAGATTCCAACCACCCTGCTCCCAAGTCTTTAAAATTTTACAGAATTTTTTAAAAAGTGAACTCAAACCTGACTCTAACTTGAATTCACTAATTTGACCAAGCCAAACAACAACAAACTGTTTGGTTACAAATAATGGCATGTATATAGCTTGCACTTGATAATGTATGTTCCTGGCCAATTTTCCTGTCTGGGGATAGGAATGGGAATTAACAAAGGACAATGAAAAGGAATTATGATGAATAATTTAGAAATCAATTAAAAGTATAGCCAAATATAGCACTGTTCCTAAATGCCAGGAAACCATTTCTTGTCTTATTTGTTATATGTTTGAATATAATTTAACTCAAGCTACTAAGAACATACCTGCACTTGTTTCCCATCTGGTTGTGAAGAGACGTAGCTGACCTGCTGGGATGGTGGGGGAGGGGGTGGTGGTGGCGGTCCCTGAGGTACACTGGCAGGGGCAGCTACTTGCATGAGAGGCACCCCTGTGTGGAGATGCATAGGCAGCTGAGGGTGCATGGTGAATGGGTTACGCTGCATATTCATCAAAGGGGCATGAACACCCACTGGGTACGGGAAGACACTCATAGGCTGATGCTGCGGGTTCATTGGGGGTTGAAGTACGTTCATGTGTTGCTGCATCATATTTACAGGTAGCTGAGAACCATCAATTTGGTTTGTTTGGTCTTTTAAGTTACAGTCTGTCAAAAGAAAAAAGGCTTTGTAAAAAACAATGTTATATTCATCATAAACACAGAAACAAATAGCAATAGGTTTGGTACAACAAAAACAAAATCTACTTACTTAATCCTGTCATTTCTAAGTAATATGCAACCACTTTATAACAAAAGAAGATGCTCACAATTACTATTACAAAACATATATCAAAACTAGTAAAGACAGCTAGGAGTGGGGACTCACACTTTATAATGCTGGCACTCAGCTCTCTGAATTTTGGGGCCACCCTGTTCTACTTAGGAAATTCTAGCCGGGGTACATAAGATACTATTTTAAAAAATAAATAAATAAATAAATAATATTAAGAATTACTAATTCAAACAACTACTTTAAAAAAGATTACAAAAATTACATAAGTTGTATCAACTGAATACTAATAGCTTTTTGTATTATTTTTTGGAAATAAATAAAATACAAGTTTAAATTATGCATAGTAACATTCCAATCTCCTCTAATGCAGCAAACAACGCATAAAATATTTCAGCCATTGGTGAAATTGTGTGCTAAAGAAATACTGATTTAGCCAAGTATGGCGGCACATGGCTTCAACTGCAGCACTCAGGAAGCAGAGGCAGGTGGATCTCTGTGAGTTTAAAAACAGCCTGGTCTGTTATAAAGCCAGTTTCAGGCCAGCCAAGGCTACAGAGTAAAATCCTGTCTTTAAAAAACAAAACAAACAAAAAACCAAAAACAGTTGATTTATTATGTATTTATATAATTAAAAGTGACATAATCTCCTTGTTCAAGTAAAACATTAAGAACAAGTAGAAAGTGTTACCCTGCTCAGGTGCTTCCTCCTCTTGTCTCATCCACCCAGACTGTGGACCTGAAGAGTTCCGACCACGCCGAGAGTAATAGTTCTGTACATCTGCTGGCAGAGTCTTTCTTACCGCCCAACTGGAGGCAGATGTCCATCCTGACCTGTCTGCAGGCGTGCCAAAAGAGAGGTCTTGTTCACTTTTCCGCTTGGAGGGCTGCTGCTCCACAGACTTGAAGGATTCACTCCCAGAAAGGGGTGTACGGCTTTGCCACCTGTTCTCACTCTGGTCAGTGTAGGTAAAATTACCTCTGTAAGTACCTTTCCCTCGGCCACCTCGCCCACGGTTGGAGATCCAGCCTGAGCCAAAGTTTTTATTCCAAGAATTCCCTGAATTTTCATTTCTATTTTCTTCCCAGTAGGAATCTTTTAACTTTTCAGGATTTCTGGTCCTTGGATCTGGTCCAGAGTTTATTTTTTCCGTTACCCAAGTGGGACAGTCATTTCTATGCTTTTCTGTGGAATTTGGATCATTAGTGTCTGCGATAATGTCATTTTTTTCTTTTCTTGTATTTTCATTTTGTTTCTCTGAATCATTTCTTCGGTACCGATCATTTCCTCGAGGACACCTCCAACCATCATTTGTCCACCTTTCCTTCCACCGAGGAGAGTAACTATCTCTTTCATTTCTACCAAATGATGAACTCTTACTTTTTGTTCTCAATCTTGATGGTGATCGAGAGCGAGACCTGGACCTTGACCACCTTCTGGATCTCCTCTCTCTGTCTCGGTCTCTCCTCTGTCCATCTCTCTCACTATCTTTTTCTCTGCTCCGGGACCTAGACTGTTCTCTTGAGGAAGAATCTTTCACTCTGGATTGAGATCTCTGGTTCTCTCTAGGAGCATCTCTTCTGGGGGATATGGACTCAGATCTTTTGGCTTCCCTAGTGTTCTCTCTCTTTGGAGACCGAGACGGCCTCCTTTCTCTGGTCACATCTTTTTTTGGTGAGAGAGAACGAGATTTTCTCCGTCCTCTGAAAGACTCTCTCTTGGGAGATGGTGACTGAGAATTTTTGCTTTCTATTGCAATCTCTCTCTTAGGAGATGGAGACTGAGCCCGCCTCTTATCTTGTGCAGTGTCTTTATTAGGAGACCAAGTTGTAGATGGAGAATGAAATCTAGATCTTCGAGTACGAGGCTTTGGGGCTTTGTCCACTAAGCTTTCAGCTGGTTGAGCTACAGTTTCAAACTTCTCAACTGTAGGATGATCAGAAGAGAGCTTGTTTTCAGAACTGTGTGTCACAGGATTTTCACTCGACTGTTTAGAATCAGTGTTTACAGATGATTCCATTTCAGATTCATTCTGGTCACTACAAAATGAGTCACACTCCATAGGTACTGTTTCATTGTTATCTTCACTAAAGTGTTTCTCACTCTGTTCGGTCTGTGTGCCAGCTAACTCTTTAGATAAGGAATGCTCAATCGGAGACTCTGTCTTTTCTTCTGAAGATTCGTCCAGTTGGGTGTTGTCAAGATTATGCTTTAATAAATTATCTTCACAATCTTGAATAGCACCTGAACTTTCATTGTCTGAAGTGTCATGTGTTGAAATTGTTTCTGTATTTTCAGTTTGAACATGCTCAGGCATTTCAGTGTCTGAGCTGGCAACACAGTCTCTGTCCAGTGTGTGTGTGATTTCACCCTCACAAGATTCCAATTTGGGGCTCTCTACAAATGCTTCTATGTTTACTGAAGAATCTTTCCCATCAGTACTTTCTACTGTGAGACCCTCCTCTATTGTTTCATCATTGACCATTGACCCTGTATTTTCAGATCCTTCACCCAGGGGACTGGATACTGGCTGAGGTCCTTCAATGTCAGAAGTTGGACATGGAAGAAAATCATCAGGGGGACACTCGGCACACACAAGTGCCTGTACCCCTATCTTTGCACTTCCAGATGCCTGGTCTTCATTTCCCAATGGGTCACTTCCCTTTACAGAAGGATCTGTAGAAATTCCATGGTCCACACCTAACTCCTTGGTCTCTATACTGGTATCCTCTCCAACAAACATAGGAGGATCCTGAGTGCAAGGTTCAGAATATAAAAATTCTACTTCTTCATCTATTGCATGCTTCTTGGTTTGTTCATTTTCTTCTGATGGTTCACTGCAACTTTTCAAGCAATTAACCAAATGGTTTTCTCCATCTGTTTGAACAGAAGAAATGCTACTGCTTTCTATACCTGACAGTTGTTCTTTTTCCAACATGGGTGGTGTGTCAGAGTCTGCCATTTCTTCCTCTACTGAATCACTAGATACTGTTTTTTCAGGGGGTGGTACCGATTTCCTAAGTTTCTTTTTCAATGAAGGTGGTTTTCTTCCTCTCCTTACAGCCTTCCGTTTTGGAGCCTGTCTTGTTTGCTTTTCTGATTCAGCTGGAGGGGAAATACTTACAGAGGAGTTACTATTGCCTGGAGCATCACACTCAGAATTATTTGACACTGGGGACTTCTGGGGCTGACTGACTGTCTCAGCTCTTGTGTTTCGTGTGGACCTCCTTGTAGGAACAGTTGTTGCAGGTTTTCGTCTAGATCCTCTGGTATTTGATGTGCCAGAAGTTTGCTTTTTTTCTCCTCCTCCTTGGGTATGTGCTAATGCATATCCCTTATGATAAGTACCTGACAATGTTGAAAAATAAAAGGATATTTTAATGTGTTTCAAAACATAATTTGACTATAGTTAGTTTCAGAAAAACAAGTCCTGTAATACAATAAAACAATGTTTGTGAATCAAACTGTTTATAATGAATTCACAGATGTTATTTCTAAAGAGCCATGATTTAGATAGTAGAACCCTAAATGAACACACTTTCTCCATGTCTTAAAAATGTAGAACAGATTTTCTAATTAGAAAATTAAATTAATTCATGCAGCTGTATGTATTTGCCATGTACATGATAAATACATGCTGTGAAATGATAAAATCTAGCTAATTAACATTAACACACCATTCCCATAGTTATCAGTATGTGTAGATACTTCACACAATCACTCAGCATTTCCAAACATGATATTAATAACTATAATAACGGTTTATACACTAGATCCATTGTCCTTATTCCTTACTCAAATTTTGTATCCTTTGACCAATAACTTCCCAATCTCAGTCTCAACCATAACCCACTCCACTACATGGTAACTGCCATGGTAATTTCAATTCCACAAGACTATAATTACATTTATTGTCATTTTGTGCCTGATTATATCACTCAGCGAAATGCCCTCCGGGTTCACCCATTACAATAGATGGGATTCCTTCCTTTTAAAGGGCTACATGATAATCCATTGTGCACATGCATTCTAGGTGTAATGATTTTAAAGTCAGACACTGCCTAAATATTTACAGAAATAACCAAGAATTACTCTAATTTATTTATTTATTTATTCCTCATTATCAACACTCACATGTTTGTGAAGGTAAAAGGAGTTAATAATTATTTTTCAAACAAAAAATTTACAAACTTTACCAAAATTGTCTAATGACGTGGTACTTGCTGAGAAAATAGTCCTTGGCAACACAGAGGTAATCAAAGGAATGACTTCTGTCTCAACACTCCATGGTACAAAACCAACTCTGAAAATTTAAGCAAATAATTCTTTAGTTACATGATCTAAAACTGAGCTAGGAATTAAAAACTACTGCATTCTCCAAATTAGATTAGCAATATTAAAATGCAATGCGTATGCTTTTGCCCAAATAACTGAACATATACTCTCAACATTATTTACTACCCAACCATAGCCACAATTTGCAAAGGAAAACAAAAAAAATTCCAATTTTTAAAGGCATATTTTTATGCTAAAAGCAAATAAGATGAAGGTAATTTACAATACAGTTGTTGCTCTTTTAAATAATCGAACATATTATCAAGGAGTTGTTTGGGGTGTGGAGCAATGGCTTAACGGTTAAGAGCACTTCTCTTTCAGAAGACTCTAGTTCAGTCCCCAGCATGCACACGCTGCATGGCTCACAAATTGCCTGTGACTCCAGTTCCAGGAGATCTGACCCCCTCCCTTGACCTCCAAAAGCACATGGACAGATGGACTCTCTCTCTCTCTCAAATATGTATATATACACACACACAATAATAAATCTTCAAAATATTCAGTCTTTAAAAAACTATTTTACCTTTTATTCTCTTGTGCTACTATAACATAAAATGTAAGTGCCTTTAATTATATAATCAATGTCTTAGCCAACATGGATGGATATTCATACGTAAAAAAGGAACATTTCTGTCTTTTCCATAAGCTTCTTCCCACTCTTCTGAACTGCTCTTCCTCCCTCAAGTCATCTATAGTGAAGGGATTTTTATGCTACATTTACGTTTTAAAATTCTTTTTCCTCTTGAGACAGGGTTTCTCTATAGCTTTGGAGCCTGTTCTGGAACTCACTCTGTAGACCAGCCTGCCTCTACCTCCCAAGTACTGGGATAAAATGCCTGCACCATTACCACCCAGGTTTGTTTAAAAATTCTTAAAGTGAGAGTGATGTCTTTTCAAAGTTCTCAGGAATGATGTGGACTAGTTAAGAGTTCCCAGGATAGTTGGGCGTTGGTGGTGCACACCTTTAATCCCAGCACTCAGGAGGCAGAGGCAGGCGGATGTCTGTGAGTTCAAGGCCAGCCTGGTCTACAGAGTGAGTTCCAAGACAGGCTCCAAAGCAATACAGAGAAACCTTGTCTAGAAAAACAAAACCAAAAAAAAAAAAAAAAAAAAAAAAAAAAAAAGGAAGAGTCCCCAGGATTTTGTTTAACTTTAAGGAAATGGTTCAAAATGTAAGTATCTGGACTTCATAATTTTACTTCTATATTTCCCTCATTTCTGGACACAGAACTCTATCAAAGTGAAAAATAAAATCTTAACGTGCAGGAACCCCTCAATGTATAGAGGAGCTTGAATCAGTGCCATTTGCCACTACAGCAGCTTTGGGATCATTAAGAAAGGGACGAGATTATAGTAAATCCTGAAGGTCAGGGCAGAGCAGGCACCTGACCAAATCATTATTTAGAAGAGTATATTTGAAAATGGAAACACAGAAACAATGCTTCAGCAGATACACAGATCATCTTTATTAGGCATTAATAAACAAAGTTTAATTCATACTTTTTATTTTATATACTTTTAATTTATACTAAATTATACTTGTATAAGAAACCCCTTAAGAAGGTACCTACCGAATATGGAATATGGAACTTATACTTAAGAATTGAATGATATTTTTGTGTTTATACTAGCATATAAATTTTAGTGAACAATTTTTACCTTCCAATTCCAGGTAATGTATTTGGAAACCATGACAACTCCAATTCCTGTCGTTTTTGCCTAATCAATGAACTGATTTCACTGACATCTACAGATTCTGTACTAAAAAAAATAAATGTAAAGTTTCATTAGAATTCCAACAATTAGCAAGTATAGAGTAAAACCTGAGTTATGAAAAAGCAATAGTGTTCACATTCAGCATCATAAAATAAGCATATCCCTAAAATAAGTAGACGATTTTACACTAAAATAAAACTGTATTTAAATGCATACTACAAAGAATGCTCGGGATCCCATATGAAGTGGTAGGATGTTGTAAGTAGCCCAACATGACCTGCTGTACTGCCAGACTACAGCAGAGCTCTATCTTTCGTACTTGATCTCAGAGGTATTAAGACAACTTTCTATTCAGACATTAACTCCAACTGGTGAGAAATTCTTACTCAGAACCATCATGTCCTATTTTAGCATAAAATAAGAAAATAAAAAGTGATGAGGCTGTCTTATCCAAAAACAGATTTAGCTCAACTTTCACAAAGGGATTCAGATGTAAGTAACTATTTCTTGAGTATTCTGCCAAGCTCTAAAATAACACAATTCTGGTTTAGTTAAGTCTGTGTGATTTTAATACCACAATATCAAAATTGAACAAATATATACCTATAAATTTCTATATATCCAGAGAGGACAGAATCAGCTCTAAAATAGGCCTGTTTTAATAGGCACTACTTTTAAATTTCACAAATACATTGTTTCTCCAGCATATACCAAAATTATACTCAGCAAATTATTAATAAAACAAAACTCACTAACATGGGCAGACATTGTAGAACACAGACTTGCAGCATGAATTCTAATTGGTCTTAATAATAAAAATTTGGGGTCAGCTATTGGGATGAAGGCTGAAGGGTCAGAGAAACACAGTGGCCAGCCACTAGCGTTCTTACCTCTAACCAATGCTCAGACCAAAAGGGCGATCCTGTCCACAGACTGCACTGAGCTCCTGTCTCCTACTGCCTTATATTCCCCTCTCTGCCTAGCCATATCACTCCTGTCTCCACCTCCCTAGTGCTGGGATTAAAGGTGTGGGATCCCAAGTGCTGAGATCACCTTTGTGTGAGCTCTGTCTCTCTTTTTGACTGATTCACTCTCTTATAGCCCAGGGTGGCCTTGAACTCACTGAGAACCATCTGCCTCTGTCTCCCAAGTCCTGGGATTAAAGGTGTGTGCCATCACTGCCTAACTAGTGTGGCTAACTCTGTATACTCTGATCTTCATGGAAGCTTTATTTGTTACAGCATAAACAAAATATCACCTGACAGACTAAATCACAAAATAACAAGTTTTCTCTTTGCTGGAACTAGTTAGTTTGTTCTCAAACAGGAACAAAATTAGTTCTCAACACTTTTATTGAACCTAATGGAAATGTCTTCCAAAAATTAATTATGACCATAAGCTAAAGGCAGGGAATACTAACCAGGAAGCTCTATAGGTTCGAGATCCTGCACTGTAGCTGCCACATGAAAACAAACTGAACACAGAATTCCCAATACAAGGATCTGTACACTGATTTGATCTTCGAACCTAAAAATATAAAAAGGTGTTAATGAAGCCAGAAACAAAAATACTTCAAAGTATTGGTATGCACTTTAAGCATTAAATAACTATAAATGTTATTATCTAAGAAAAATATTCTTTATTTCAACAAACCTTATTTGTCTTTACTGTAGTAATTTTCTTTTCAACCATTTTATTGTTTGAACAGTTTCCTATAAAACAAGCAAATAAAATAGAATAGAATCTGGTTACTTGGCTCAAATTTTATTTATTAAGTCTCTACACCTTTCACATTGATTAAGAATGCCAAAGTGCCTAGGAGTGTTGTATTTCTTTGCTTTTAAAAAAAAGCTTCCCAAAAAATAGCTTCCCAAATGTTAATTGCATTTTATCTTACTAAACCACAGATAAAGGGAAAGTACATTAGGTTACAATAAACAGAACTGTCATGCACAGAGCCTTACAGGTATGATTCTAATCAATATTTTCTACCACCTTATGCAAAAGTTTAACTCATAAAAAATGTCACATATAAGGCTTAAGCTTTAAGTGCAATTAACATATTTAGGGTTTCTTATCCAGCTATGTATTACTTATGACTGTTTCAAGATAATCTCAAGTGGGAGCTGCCTAGGGAAAATGAAATCTTTGGCCACTGACACTTCAGAGATCAAGTACCCCATTCTTCTTCAAATCTTAGTAAATATAAAGTGTCTGCTACAGCAATGCTGCTACCTTATTTTTCTTTTTTGCTATGTCTCATCTAGAAATTATTTGTGTAATTTCAAATCAAGTAGTGTAAAACATATATTCTTTTTGTTTAAAGATGTTTTATTAATTTTAAACACATGTGGATAGTGTGTGTCTGTTTATGAATATGTACATTTAAGTACTGGTGCCCAGAGTCCAGAAGCGTTGGATTCCCCATAGCTAAATTACAGCAAGTTGTGGCTGTCATTAACTCCTACATCACTTCTTCAGCCCCTTACAATGGATAAACTCCCCAGAAAGATAACTTCTTATCAACATCTGTATAACTTAGTAGACCTAGCTTTCATTCACCAATAAGTCTCTTGTGCACACATGCTTGCTTGTGTGCTCCAGTGTGTGCATTTGCATGCAGAGACACTCCCTTGAGACTGACTGGGTCTCACTGAACCTGAAGCCCAACCTTTCTGGTGGCCAGTGACTTCACTTCCTAGGAGCTACCTATCTCCACCCCACAAAACCAGGATACAAGCATGCTGCCCTGCCAAGATCTCATATGAATTGCTAGGGACCCAAACTCAGGTTTCCACATTTCCACAGCAAGTACTCTGACCCACTGCATTATCTCCCCAGTCCATGAAGACTAACAATATATTTATGGCTCACCACAAACTGTTGCTGATACAATTAATGGTTATTTCCTAAAAGTTTCTAGACAATATCTACACTGCAAATGGCAACTACGGTCTCCGCTTTGCTTGCTTCAAAAAGGGTTTATGGATCACCCCCCATCTCTCATAAACGCGCGCGCGCACTCACACACACACACACACACACACACACACACACACACACACACACACACAGACCAAAACAAATCTAAGCACATGGACAAAGTAGGAGACCTCTTTCCTATTACTGAAGACCATATGTCCTTGGTTTTCTTCTGTTAATAGTGCTGGTTAAAGCATATTTTCCACTTAATAGTACACTCATTCCCTTTTTCATTACCATTAAGCCTTCACCAACATGCCATACACACTGCAGGCATAACAAATGTAATATGGATATGGGGGCTAAGGGAGCTGGCTAAGGTTCAGGAACTTACTGCTCTGTATGTAATCCTGGCCATTTTGGAATTGGTTCTGGAGACTAGGCCAGCCTCCACTCAAGAGATCCATCTGCCTCTGCCTTCTGAATGCTGGGGTTAAAGGTGTGCTCCACCAAACCTTTAATGACATTTTTTTGTTGTTGTTGTTGGCCAGCCTGGAACTATCTTAGAACAGGCTGGTCTCTAACTCATAGAGATTAGCCTGTTTCTGACTCCCAAGTGCTAGGATTAAAGGTATGCTCCACCACTGTCCAGGTGAGCCAATGATTTTTAAAGTCATTAAAAAGCCAACAGTAAAAATGCTTAGTAGGTATCCAGCTGCAGTTTATAAATAACTATTCTGTTAAACTCGATGCAGAATTGCTGTACTATAGTTACACTGTATCTTTTATGCCCTGAAGGTGCTAAATTGTTCTAATTCATTCACTACTTAATATATATATATATATATATTGCTATCTCTTGGAAGCCTCCCTTGGGAAGCCAGCATCAGACAAACTGCTCTGTGCAAAGAACTGTTTGTTTTCTACCACTTCTATGTACTGAGAGCTCCAATGACATTCTCATTAAAGGATTCAACACTGGTTAATTTCTCTAATTGAAGCTAGAGAGATGGATCAGTGGTTAAAAGCACTAACTGTAGAGGAACCAGGTTTTGTTCTCAGTACCCACATGGCAGCTCACAACCATCTAAAATTCTAGGTCCAGGGTATCCAGGGCCCTCTTCTGACTGAACTTCAAGGGCACCAGCCAAAACACATAATACACATAAAATAAAAATGGATCCAAAAATCACTTTCATACTTCTATTGTCAAGGTCATCTCTTTCGTGCTTCCTCCCTCTAGTTCTCTGTGTGGCTTAAACAAGTATTCCCTCTGCTATGCTAAACTAGAATCCTGGCTTATCTTTAATTCAGTACCTACCAAACACATTTCAGTAAACACCAATCCCAAAGACATTTTACAAAAACATTCTTCTGTGGGACTAGTGGGAAAAAGTTCTTGCCCTATTTTCCTGGGTTCAACCTCAAGCACTTCAGGGAAAGAGTCTAGAAGAACATCCTTTTGTACAACGTAAACTAAGATAATAAAGACTCTGAGATTAAAGCTTAATGATAAGTGGGCATTCAAAGTCTTAGTAATTAGTAATTAAATTAGTAATTAAACAGAGATAGCATAGATGGAAGATGTCATTCTGTAAATATGCTTCTCATACTGGTTAATGAATAAAGCACTGTTGGCCAATAGGAAAGCAAGATAGGCGGGACTAGGAGACGAGGAGGATTCGAGGAATAGTAGGGAGGAGTCAACATGGAGAGACTGGAGAAAGCAGAACCGCCAGCCTCCTCTCCCCAGTAAGATTAAGACCACATGGAAGTACTTAGATTAATAGAAATGGGTTAATAATTAAGACAGAGCTAGCTGATAAGAAACTAGTAACTGGTCATAGCATTATACCTAATATAGAGTCTCTGTGTGTTAAATGGGGCTGGCGCTGCGGTGGGTCCAGGCCGGAAAGGAAAATCTACTTGTAACATAGCATATCCTTAGAAAGGCCTGAAAGGGGCTAGGAAGCTGGTGCTACATAGGGACCTGACTTTGGATTCCTAGAACCCACATAACGAATGACTATAGGAGTAGACACCTGTAATCCCAAGGGGTTAAAAGCCAGCCAGTCTAACAGAACTGATGATGTAGCTGCAGGGTAGTGAAAGACCCTATCTTAAAAACTAATGTTGAGACTGATTAAAGAGGACACCCAACATCAACCTCTAGTTTCCAAATGCAAGGACACATACACTTATAGGCACATGCGCACAGATGCATGCATGCACACATGCACAGACCATATACATACCACCCCCAAAAAGAAAAAGGGAAATGCCTGAAAGCCATTTTTTTCTTTCTTTTGTAAGCTGAATTTACTATAAATGGCAAACACAACCAAATTTAATCTTCACCTCAATAAGACAAAATATTGGTAAGGTGATGCTTAGCCAATCTATGCCAAAACTCCAAAGACCCAAATGTTTAAGATCCATAGACATTATACCACTTCCTCTGGATATGTGGAATAAGACTACAATATAGGCTACTAAACACCAAGTCATCAGGAAACTTTATTTTTTTTTTTCTTGACACACACTTCCTTTCCTTCCTTCTCCCTTCCACCTAAACAAAAAGAACAAAAAGTATAGGGAACAGCATTAATGACCTTACATGTAAAGTAAAGTAATTGTGGGAAAGATCTAAGAAGTTACATTATCAACTATTTTCAAAATCTGGGACTGGGCAGTGTTAGAGCACACCTTTAATCCCAACAATCAGGAGGCAAAGACAAGCAATTCTCTGTGAGATCAAGGCCAGCCTGGTCTACAAAGTGAATTCCAGGAAAGCCAGAGCTACACAGAGAAACCCTGTCTTGAGGAGAGGGAGGAAAGAGGGAGACAGGGAAATAATGGGGGGGGGGGAGGTAAAGGGAGAGAGACAGACAAAGAGATAAAGAGATCTGGCACAAACACTAAGTTACAACACAAAAGAACACTTAGCAGGATTACTTACTATGCAAAACCTTCATGTCATAAAATCTTTCACACAACAGATCTTCTCGGATGCTGTTTCCTTTTCTGTAGATACAAATAAAAGTTTAAAAGGATTTTTGGTTTTCTTTTTTTGTTTTTCAAGATGGAGTTTCTATATGTAGATTTGTAGATCAAGTTGGTCTTGAACTCACAGAGATCCACCTGCCTCTGCCTCCCGAGTGCTGGGATTAAGGGCAAGGTGCCACTACCAACCAGCTTGTTCATTTATTTTTAATTCACTATCCATCACAGTAAGTCTATTATGCATAAATTTTATTAATAATCCTTGAAGCCAATAAATGGTTATTCTCATAAACTCAGATCAAATATTAATAAGCAGGACTGTATTTTAATATACACTGAGTTGTATTATATTAGTATTAAAATAATAATCTTATTGACTATCATGACTGGCTACTGAGCCATGCAGAATAGAGGTTATTACTTTTTTAAAGAAGCAATTGGAAACATCTAGCAGCAAAAAAAAAAAAAAAAAAACCATGAGTGCCACTTCCTACTCATTTAACATTTTCTACTCTAACGACTTTAACTGGAGCCTTATATATGCAAATATTGCTGCAATCCTTTACTAAGCAGGAGTGGAAAGGGATAACAGAAATGAAGGTAAATCTCATCACAATATACTATACATCTGTATGAAGCTGCTCAAGTTATTACTTATGGTCATACTGAATCCCACTTGTAAAGTCAATCACTAACCTTTTATCGCTTTTGGAACTTTCATGATAAGAGAGTTGTTTCTTTAAAAACCTTTCATTTTCTTTGTCTTTTATTTCTCTCAACTGTCTTTTTACTTGAATCTATAAGAAAAGCAAAACTATTAGAGAAGTATACCAACACTAATAGCTTTTCAATTCTCCCTTATAATTACAAAATTAAAGAAACAAAACTATCTCACTGGTGCACACAACTAATCCCAGCACTTGGGGAAATCAAGAAGACAAATCAAGAATTCAAGACCAGTCTGGGCAGCATACAAATATCTTTAGCAACATCATTACTAAAATGGTTAGAAAATAGTTTGTCTTCCACAGAATCTATTTTGACTTTGATTATATTAACACTTTTCTCCAAGATATACATGATACTCTGCATATTTGGTAAAGAGATAAGCAATTGTAACAAGCAGATCCTTCTGTTTTGTATATATGTTTATTTCCAAGTACGAGCATGCTTGTGGAGGTCAGAGGAAAGCTTCAGGTATTTTCCCTCAGGCAGGTTTTTAATAGGCCTCAAACTAGTTGAAAAGTAAGCTATGTTGCTGGCCAATGAGACCCATGGCATGGATCACAGCACATACCACCATTCCTATTATTTCTTAAATATAGGCATGGAACTCAAGTACTTATGCTTCTTCTATGCTCCCCACAGTTTAACATGTTTTATTTGCATTGCAATACTGTTTGTACTATATATCAAGACTTATGAATAAAAATACATCAAAACAAGTTAAAAAATACCTATACTGAAAAGTAATGCCAAAATAGTTGTTTTTTCCCCCCCCTTCCCTCCAGTAACCAAGCTATCATAGACAGCAAACAGTTTTTTCCTTAGAGGGATCACATGCATTGTCTGTGGTTTTTCTTAAGCTATTCTCATTGATTTTCATATATTTATTATGTTTCTCATATATCTTACTTACTCACCACTGTCCTGTCCTATCTTCCTCAGGAATGTTTCTATTTTTTTCTTCTATTTAACAAGCCAAAAATCAACATTAGAAATATTAATCATTTGTAAGAGCCAGAGGAATAGGATGTCTACTGTGAGACTGAGTCCTAGAGAAGTCAGAGAAGCTACATCCATGAAGACTCATCAACATAGCTGCCTAAGCAAGACCCAAACAAGGATGGCACCAACAGATATACATACTAACACGGAGGTGGGAAATCTCACAGGGCTTAAACCCTAGACAAAGAACTACAGCCACTTAAGTAAGGGATGCTGAGAGCAGAAGAAATAAGTCTTCCCCAGGAAACAGTCCCCCAGTTGGATTTCTGATACCAAGTGCTCAGCCCTGAAACCATATAAATTATACAGACTGAGTACACTGTATTTCTATATTGAGGGATATATATACATATACATACATACAAACATATCTATGAAACAACAAATAAAGAAAAAGAGTCTAGAGACCGTAAATTTGAGAGCTAGCAAGGTATGAGGAGTACCTAGGAGGAATTGGAAGGAGAAAAGAGTCAAAATACCTAATTACATTTTAATTTGAAAAAACTAAAAAAAAATGTAAGTATAATGACTAATACTGTAAAGAACAAAGATGTCAATTTATATTCAGTTCTACTTAGCTAGTCTCCAAATTATTTTTTTCATAAAATGGTTTTTAGATATTTGAAGCTAAGCTTAAATGTTAGGAAAGTTTATCTTTGAATCCAATACTCTAATTAAAACATTTTTATTTTGATGAAATAACATATTCAAGTTCTGCCCAGCTAAAAACTGTTTTGAAATACAGGAACAATCATGCTGATATTTTGGAAATGTAGTATTCTATAATTAAATACAAAAATTCTTTTAAAGCATCTAATCTATCACATCTATAAAATACAAGGTAACCACTGTGGTATGTCCCTCTAGAAGGCAAAGGAAAAAAGGTCCAGTATTTTAGTTAGAAGTGTTGAAAGCTATGAGCTTGCCATGCTAAAGAGAGATGATGACACACATTACTTAAAGGTGAACCATTTTTAAAAACACATTAACTAGAAATCTATCAATACAGAGTAACTCCAGTTAACTTGAAGTTTATGACACTCATAAACTCAAAATGAAATCTAAGCTTACCTTATCACAATCTTCAAATACACTGAGTTCAAACACAGCCTGAAAAGGTTTCCGGTCAATTGGACAAGAAGCCAATATCTGACAATTAGAAATTATATATTTACAAATATGTCACAAACTACACTAAATAGTTACAATTTTCCACTATCATAGAAATATATATTTCCAATTTCAAAATGGAGAGGAAATACTCAAGACTGTACCGCACAGCAAAACCACAAGCACTTAGAGTCGGCTTCACTCATTCAAATGTTTACTGAATGACACTAACTGGAGTAAAGTGAATATGAGAAGTGAATACCACTAAGACTCCAATAGGATGTGAAAACTACTGGTAAAATCAAGGGAGAACTTCAAACCTACAACCCTGCCATATAAAGCTGGCTATTATGCTATGCTTGTGTAATTCTAAGTCACCTATAAAAACAATGCCTTAAAGAAGCCATTCATATTAATAGCCTATGATTTAACATGTCTGCCAAATTATTTTGATGACATAGTTGTGTTAGCAATGAGAACATGATTAAAATATGGAAGAACGAAGCATTCCCCCAGTCTCCTTGGCCCTAAATAATCCCTCCAGAAGTACTTATGTATTTTGCAGCTACCCAATATACACAAATCTTCTTAATATTACAATTCATATGATAATTGCATTTTTTTCTAAATTAATGATCATACATTAGTTCACGGAAATTATTCTTAACAGCATCATATGTCACAAACTTTAGTTTGTTTTTTTGTAACACATATAAATTGAGTATATTTTATTTTTAAGGGCATATCCAAAAGTTTTGTTTAAAAAAAAAAAAAAATCTATCCATACTCTTTACCTAACTTTTAATTAGGTTTCTAGTCTTCTTCTAATTATGTGTTATTTTGTAAGGAAATTTGTCTTTAAATTATTTTAGATTAGGAATCAACCTAATTTTTATATATATTACTGTGCTTTCAAAAATTTGTATGTATCAACTATAATTCTATTATTAAATGTATATAGGAGAATGTAGTGAGATATTCACTTTGTCAGCACTTGTGGCAAGACCACGCACACTGGGGACTGACATTACCTGGGAGAACTAAGTCTGAGGACGGGGTTCTAAGCGCTCTCTTGCCTGCAGCAGTACATCCAGAGGCATCCTTGGGACCAGGAACCTGCTGGTGTTCATCTGTCTATGTTGTAAGTTATTTCTCCCTGAATGAACATCTATTCGGCCTATTTGTTTCTCCTGATCCTTATTAAAAATCAATAGGAGAATGTTATTTATATTATGAAAGTAATTTAAGATGGACTGTTTTGTACTAGGATGGAAGGAAAAACTATAGTCTAATGACATTACTAATACAAGTAAAAAAGGATCACAGCAATTTAATGCAATCATATAAACGATCAAAGATAGTTGTGGAATTTAGCTAATTCACTTTATATTATTCCTTACTGGGAAATGTTGTGATTGTCCATATCTAGATACACTTACATGAGTACAAGTAGAACAGAGATGTGTGGCCCCGATCATATAATAACACATTTCCACAAAACTCATGAAGTTATTAAAAAGCAGCTAAAATATGAACTGAGTTACTTTCTACCAGTTTAGTAAAATGTGAATTTTCTATTGCTACAAAAATGTGGCTTTACTACAATAAATCAGTTCTGACAAGACACCTTAAGTCACTTCCAAATTCTCAGGATTTAGGATGCTTTTAATTTGCTACCAAAAATGAGTTTTAAAAGTAGCAACAAAGTACTCTACATATTACTAACAAAGCATTTCAAATACAATCTTAATTAAATGAACCAGATGTCCTAACAATGTATCTGCCTGTCAGTCAGCATTACTATGACATTTTTAGAGGTTACATTCTTTTTGTTTGTTTTTTTGTTTTGTTTCTCTGTAATGCTTTGGAACCTGTCTTGGAACTAGCTCTAAAGACCAGGTTGGCCTTGAACTCACTGAGATCCACCTGCCTCTGCCTCTCTAGTGCTGGAATTAAAGGTGTGCGCCACCAACAAACAGCTTTAGAAGTTATATTCTTAACATTTATATTGAAACTATACAAAGTACAATCTGGCCAGTGCTTTCCATTTTTCAAAGTTTTCAAATATTTTTATTTGTATTTTAAAGGTAATTATGAAAGACTCAACAGTTAATAAATGAAAATATTTATTTCATTTAAGTGAAATATAAGATTAGAAAACTAAAATGAATAGAAGCTTGGTACTTATGTTCTTTCATACTTTCTCCTTTGTCCAAACTTGGGCCCTGTTATCTACATTCTTCGTGCTTCAAGTACCTACTTTTGAAAATGGGAGTAAAGCTTTTAAGCCTTCTATGGTAATCAACTGTTAGCAAAGCTTAGAGAAATGTGTAGTATACCCTAATTCCTACATAAGATCAGTTTAACTACACTAACAAAAACCTAGGATAACTAACAAAAGGAAAATCTGCAATGGGATACATGTAAAAATGAGAAACATGGATCCTTCAATGATTTATTCTGTTGGTCTCCCTATAATATGACCCAAAGAAATTTATGTATCAAATCAGTCAGTGGCTAAAATTATAAAGTCTCATTGTTTTTCTTAGTAAACTTCCTCTCAACATCAGCTAACCACCACTCTTTCCTTTACAATTTTTAAAGTAGCAAGGTTTTAACCTGAGCCACTCTGCTTTGACCTATTTCAAATATGGAGGTTCTGAGCATGACCTCCATTCTTTTTTCCACTATGACTAACTGTTCTGGATCTGACTAGACTGGTTTGAATAAGGATCTCCACTGCTATAACAAGAACATACAACAAAGGAAAATGGAAAAAAAAGCAGTGATAAGAAACAACTATTACGTGTTATAATCTGGACATACTTAACTTTCCTAAAAAAGGATTTAATTAACACTAGAATCTTAAAATTGCATTATCATTTCCAGGTAGGAAAAGTTAAAGTAAAGAAATAAGCCCAGAAAGGTAGATAAAAATGCCTTTGCTAGGGCTAAGAAACAACGCCACCATATGACTCTTAAATGTAGAAGAACATTTCAGGAAGAAAACAGAAATTTAGTTATCTATTCTCCATAGTATACCTAAATAATTACAAAGTCAATGGAAAAAGTCAAAGCATGTTTAAAAAATTAAGGACTGTTATTTTTCCTTAATGTATCCTTTACAGATAAAAGCAAATCACACTTCATGCGATAATTACATAACTTAAAAAACAGAAAGATTTTACATCAGGGTTTGTTTTGTTTTTATATGGTTTAGATTGGCTACTTTAAGGCATTCCCAGGGGATTCTCATTCTTATACTTAGTAGATAGTGATAAAATCCCAAGACACTTTGGTCTTCATAGTATAGTTTTCAAAGTAGTTTGTTTAGATAAAAATACTAACTGAACTTTTTTAGCTTCAAAGTTTTAAAAGCTCCTATTTAAAGCTATTATAGACAAAAATTAATAATTTAAATGAATTTAATGTTAAAAGACTATTAAACTTTTATATGCAAAATTTAAGTTCACCATTTTGATATAACAAAAATACCATTATTCACCTATTTAGTATGACTTTAAGTAATTTTAAAGTATCTAATTAGTTCCATAATCAAAGTATGTAAGAATACCATCCAACTTTATGATACAATTAAAAAGTTAATAGAACTTGCTCACTGTTTTACAGTGTAATGTATATTAAAAACAGAGCATATATCTTACAACAAATGCTCTGTACTATTACATAAGGAGGCAATTTTGAGAGAAAAAATTATCTTTCCTAATGATTTCAGTAAAACATACCCTAGTATTCTGAAGCGTTGTAAATTCCCAGCTCAGACAAACCCATATTTAAATGTAAGAACAGGAAACCTTCCTTATTTGGGAATTCAGCATTCTTGGTTCCTAATATTTCTTGCTTCCTGATGCTGCTCTATCCTCAATCACATAGGCTGCCTATAGATAGCCCCTCCTAGAGAGAGAGAAGCAAGTGTTAAAGGAAGTGTTTAAAGACTAAGTCTCAACACCTATGTTTACAGGTAGGTTTGTTTTCCTGTTCACGGGCATCTACAACACCTACCTCTGCCATTAAGAAATAAAGCATATTATGTACAAAATTACAGTTCAAAATCAGATGATTTAAGGATGCATACCATTAGAGGTTGGTGTTTTTATTTTAGAATTGTTGACCATTATCCCTTCCTCAATGATAGTTTCAACACAACTAGCCATGGCTCATCTAAACATTCATTCAAAACAGCCTTTGCCAATGCACATTTGGTTAGTTATTTCTTTGGGTTTTTGAGGGGGGGAGTGGGGAGATTGGTTTTGGTTTTCTGAGATAGGGTTTCTCTGTATAACAATCCCAGCTGTCCTGGAACTCACTCTATAGACCAGGCTGGTTTCAAACTCAGAGATCTGCCTGCCTCTGCCTCCTGAGTGCAGGGACTAAAGGCATGAGCCACCACTGCCCAACATACATGTGGTTCTTTATTTACACCAGCTTTCAGAAGCATGTCTACAAAAATATTTGGTTGTCAGTGATAAAATTAACAGTAAGAATACATTCAGTAGACCCACTCAAAAGGAATGTTTGCACATTTACCAAGACACACTTTTAACACTAGGACAGTATTATACTTTATCTAACCGCATCTGACATCTAATGATTAAGGATCTTTTCCTAGTATACAAACACAAAATTCAGTAAATTGCCTGTATAAATCATTGTAAGTATTTTGACATTTGCAACTAGCCTATAAAAAATGTAAACATTAATTTACCTGACTGGTGGGAAGAATATTAGATGAAGACTCTCAACACATTCTTACATTCTGTAGGCAGCAAGTGTCAACTGCTCTCAGATCTTGGCCTTTGCTGTTCAATCCATCTAAAAGCACACTTGTACCTGTCTTGGCTCAACACTGCCCTTCAAGAGTTCAATGTCACCTTGAGAGCATCTTCATTTCTAGTCTCACAAGACTGCCTTTGCTAACTTTCCAGTTTGATTTCATTAACCTTTCATTCTCACACTAAAGCTGTCAGCATTCCATAGGAATAGAGGGCTGAGTTAAGTTCAACAATTTCCTTATGTAGGGAAACTAATTACATTTTTTAAATGATGCTTAAAAATACATAAGATAAAAAACAAGAACCACCTCAGTAGTTATCAATACTATACTAGTCACACACACAACTACCACACATCCTTGTAATGCAACACATCTAGCTTAGTGTAGAACATGTGCTTAGCATGCTCAACACTGAGTTCTCAGTTCAATCCTCAGCACCAAAAATACATACATATGAACTATTAAACTACTTAGCCATTTAAACATGTAATACTTCTAACTTTTCAAGCTATAACTCTCTAAATATCCAACCCCAGAGTCAAAGCCCATTTTCATATTTAGTACATACAGATGAGATCATCTTGTCTGTAGAAAATCATTAATATAATTGGCTGTCACTACTTGCACTGATGCATCGGACTTTTCTAGCCTCCACCTTGTATTTTAAATGTGCAAACTCAGATAATTTGAATTTGTGTGTGCTCAAAGCTCTATTGAAAAAAATAATTGTATGTGTGTTTGTTTGTGTGTGTACATGCCCATGTGCATGAGAGTATCTATGTGCTCCATGTGAGAGTAGAATAGCCACAAAGGTCAGAAAATAGTGTAAAATCCCCTGGAACTGGAGTTACAGACTACTGTGAGACACCATATGGGTGCTGGGAATTGAATCAGGTCCTCTGAAACAATGGCCAATACTCATAATTGCTGAGTTATCTCCAGGTGAAAAGGGAGAGTGCGTAAGAAAAAGAAATCTTTTAAGTGGAAGGGCAAACTTTAACACACTGGCTTTAGCATACTTATCAGTACAAAGGTCTTTTCTACATTTCAAGATTATTAGCTCCAATAGCGACGGTTTACTAAAACTGTCAATAGGGTATTGCTGCCAATTACATTTTTGTTAAATATTATATTTCTCTTTCCTCCACTTGCCCTCTCTGATTTACGACAAAGTATTGGTGTACAGCCCTAGCTGGACTGATATTTGCCATGTATCACAAGCTGCCTACTCTCTTAACTTGTGACAATCCTCCTGACTCGGCTTCACAGTACTGAAATTGCACATGTAAACACCATATGGGCTTTTCAGAACTCTACGTTCCCTGGAAATACTTTTAAGCTAAGAGGCTTGCCATCTAACGAATCTCTTAACTAAACAATTATAAGAGGTTCAATCTGTTCTAGTGTACCTATGGTAGGCCATTAGGTTCTAGGGCCCTCAGCACTGGTCTAAGCTAAAACTCTTTTCCTAAGTAAAGTAAATTCTATGACTTAACCTAGAGACCACAAACAGTCAATTTCTTTACCACTGCAGTCTTGTTTGTTTGTTTAGCCATAGAAATGAGACTTTAGAGTATGGATAATTTTAAACTAACTTTTATTTGAGGAATAGGTACTTTAGGAATATGAAACTTTTCAGGAATATGTACAAAATAAAAATACTAGACTAAAATACATTCAAAAACTTTTATAACTACTAGTTTCTTATTAAAGAATTTCCTCGATGCTTAAAATAAGGTGGAAAGGTGACGGTGTGCTTGATATCCTATCTTAATCATACTTCAGCGAACCTCGACTACAAACTTCAGCAGAGCTAAATCTCTGAAAGACACAAAAATCTACAGAAATGAACCAGACTGAATTCTATGCTTTTTCTTATCAAACAGAGTTCCAAGTACCACAATTCCACTTTGATATCTATGCCTCTCCTAGACATGGACATTAGTAAAATTTTCAACTATAGATTCTTAAAAATTATTATAACTTTAGGCTATTCTTGATTGTCTGCAAATTACTGCTAGAGTCCAGAGCTCTTACTCTGTACATAAAATAAACATTAAAATAGTGAACAAATTACTGCTAGAGTCCAGAGCCCTTACTTTGTACATAAAATAAACATAAAAATAGTGAATTAGATGAAAGAATGTAAAATGTAAACTGCAAAGGGTCTCTAAACATAGCATTTATTTCTAGTACTCAATCTGAAACAAACTGCATACTTCTTTAAACAAGAGATTGAAAAAAATGAGGTCTTTAATGATGATAATGAAAAAAAGAAGAAATTAAAATCTGATTGTTTGCCAAAGCATTTACATACTTTAAAACCATCTGTTATCACAGCAAAATTAGAAGCCTAAGTAACTCTGTAAACACAAATTTATTCATGATTTATAATGAATAGTAAGTATTTTAATATGATTGTCCTATTGTTACTAGTCAATTTAATGGCTTACTGATGGCTGGTATCTCCACTAGGGACAATTGACATAGATTGTTCTCTCTTCTCTCCTTCCAAGGTTATGCACTCTGTTAAACCTGTAATCACAACTTAAGACAGCAGTACAAATTCAGCCTGGTCTACAGAGCTAGTTCCAGGACAGTTTCCAAAGCTACACAGAAATCTGTCTTGGAAAAAAAAAAAAAAAAGACAGCAGTACAATATAGCACACACACCACACACATAACTTGCTTTTGAAAAGCACTTCAATAAATTGTTTATTTTCCAAAGAATATTAGTTCTGAAAAGATGGCTAAGCAGTTAGGAACATGTACTGCTCTCTTATAGAAGAGTCTTGGAGAGGACTCAAGTTTGGTCTCAAGTTTGGTATCCAGCACCCATCTTGGCAGCTTACAATTAACTGTACCTCCAACTCCAAGGGCTTAGACATCCTCTTTTGTAGACACACACACACACACACACACACACACACACACACACACACACACACACACACACACAAGCACACGCACATTTTTTACAAAGTAACAAAAAGCAAGGAATATACTGTATGTAAAAAAAAGGTGTTGACTTTCATATATATTGCCAAGTATTTTCAAATTTAAAATATGAGTTAAAATATAGTAAAGTTTAGCACTGTTTAGTGCCCTTAAATATGTGTAGTCTACAACCTAGCCATTACACTGTCTCAATAGATACCACAGAGAAACCTGTAACATGTACATCACGATAAAGCTCATGTTGCAAGATGCACTTGAGGTGGTAAAGGAAGGAAGAAGAACCATGTCTACGTATTCTAATTGTCTTAAAGAAAAACATATTATTTTGAAGTTCATAATTATGTAGTCACTGGACACAATCAGAAAAAAGACTAAAACCTTCAGGTCAACTCATGCAATAAAAGGGTTTCTCAACTCCCACCCAGTCAAACACATATATATCACAGATGCACTAAATTCAATAAAATTTACAACTGTAGTTGAGTGGTAGATAAAAGGCATTATTTCAATAATCAGTACTACAATTACATATGGACATTTAACAACAATATTCTCCCTAAACGCATTAGTTTTTTTCAAAATACATTTTCACCTACCCTTAGTCTCTTCTTGTCAAAGACTAATCCAACTAGTATAATGAACCTCTTGCAGAGGTTAACTACAAAGACAGCATTCTCATACATTAAATCAGTCTTCCAATGGCATTAAAGAACATCCAAGCACAAAAAATAAAAAAAAAATTGAGATATACCTAATTTTTATTAATTTCTTTACTAATTTTTACATAACTCACAAAATAATGAATCAGAAAACAAGATATAAAAACAGTGAACTTTTTACTTTTACAATTTATAACAACAGGGCTTAAGATTACTACACTCTTCAATTTATTTGTCCCAAATTGATTCAATATAGTTAAAGCCCAAAATATCTTGTTGCTTAATTATTTTATAAAGAATCAAAAGTAAAATCTGTAATTCAGACTCTGAAATTAGCTACAATAAATTAAAAATAATAACTTAAACTATATTTCTAAATTGACACCACCATCCAAGCTGTGAGATCTGGGCCAAATTACCAGACTATGACATGCAAGATCCCTAAACTTCAGAGTGAACATAACATGACCACAATAACATCTATTCTTGTTATTCCATAGGTTAACATAGAGAAAGCAAATAAATCTGTGTGAAAATTCTCTGAAAAACATAAAACAAAAAGCAGACAGAGATGTTATTAGTAACAAGCAGGTAATAACCTAAAAGAGTCAGAAAGCTGTTTGGCCTGCTCTTCAAAGTATAAATTAAAATTCTTTAGTCATAAAAGAATGAAAAGGCTGAGTAAAACACAATTAGAAGGAAATATATGCAGATGGAATTTGAACAAACAGGGAAATTTTCCTAAAGTAGTAGGAAAATACTTTAAGAAGAAGTAATTTACGAAAGACAACTTCTTTAAGTGAAATAAAACTGTAATAGGAAATTAAATGCAGTAATTTATTACCTATGTTTATTCTCAGACTTACCTCTGCCCACTTAAGAATACAGGTCAGACAGAAGACATGATTACAACTTTCTGGAAAACCAACTTCCTTTCCTAACAGGCAACTAAGACATATTGGACATCTGTCCACTTCATTGTACAATAGACCAGAGGTACCAGCATTATTTCTGTTTTCTTCACCTGTAAGGAAAATTTTAAAATGTTTGCAAAAACTCCAAAACCAATGGCTTATGCTTATAAGCAATATGATTGCCTGTATCCTCCAAGGGCCACCCTCCTACTTTGCAATTAGACCTTAGATAAATGGCAAACATATTCTTTATTTAAGTTAAATAACACCAACATTTAAGGTCAATTTTGTGATATGTGTATATTTTCCCTCTTGTTTAGGTATTGTGTTTGTATAGCTCATTTAAAAATGTAATGTGTAATTTAATACAGATTTTAGATAGTTACCTGTAATAGTCAAAACTCTAGTTAGGTTTTACCTGTAATAGTCAAAACTTAAGAGTTAAGTTAGTTAGGATTTCTAGATATACAGAAATGCATTTGAGATGAATAGGCATTCTTCAAACCTTTCAAAGACCTACAGAATATGGCATTTAAAATGGTTTAGGATTTTTCTTTATAGTGAGGCACAACTGCTCCTGGCAACACCACCTACATCAGAAAGGAAGATGGACATCGAAGGAAACGCATTACGAAGTTTGCTTTCAATATGACAAGACTAGCCATTTGGGCAAGATACTGCTCTTGTCTGGACTATTTAACTTTATGCAGTATAAACTGGACATGCAGGACCCACAGAAAAGTGACTGCTAAAACAAGATGGTCAGCGCTACAGGGTTCCTGCTTCATGGAAGAGTCTGCCAGACATTCTGCAGGACACAGAGAAAAGTGACTGATAAACTGCCAATACAAGTGGACAGTTTAAAGTTTCCTGCTTTGCTGAGAAATCTGTCACATACACTGTGGCCTATGGGCCAAAGATGGATGTGCCAATTTACAGAAGAACTTTGCATGTCTGTCCAGGTAGCAAGATGTTTCTCATTTTTAGAGTTTATATACTATCCTTCTGTGGCCTTTGATGGAGTTGAAGACAGGTAGTTATGGTTATAGTTTTCCTTAGTTAGGATTAAACATAAGTTATATATAAGACATTAGACTCACAAAGATAGGAAAGATGATGGAATATTTTCTTTAAATCCTGCTAAATGTTAATGGACTAAATACTGTTAACTATAGTTCTTATTTGATAACTATTTTGTTATATATTTTATTATGTTAAGTTAAAACCCTTTTTATTTTAGACAGAAAAGAGGAGATAATGGGAGATGTCATTCTGTAAATATGTTTCTCTTATTGGTTAATGAATAAAGCACTATTAGCCAATAGGAAAGTAAAATAGGTAGGACTAGGAGACATGGAGGATTCTGGGAATATAGGAGACTCAAGATGTGATTTCAGGAGGAGAGGACACGAGTCTAGCGTTCTCGGTAAGATAAGACCATGAAGAACTACATATATTAGTAATTATGGATTAATTGTCAAGACAGAGCTAGCCAATAAGGAGCTCTAGCCATTGGCCAACAATTTTATAACTTTAAGGAAGGAAGGAAGGAAGGAAGGAAGGAAGGAAGGAAGGAAGGAAGGAAGGGGAAAGAAAACCTGAACTGGGCATTTAGAATTTCAGATTAAACTTATCAAACAAAAATAATATTAGACACATAGTAACAAAAATACAATGCAGGTAAAATACCCATACACATAAACAAACAAAAAAGATTTTCACTTTATAGGATACTATTGAAGCTATTAAAACTTTGAGACTATTAAAACTTTAAAAAGACTGGTCAGATGGCTCAGCCAGTAATGTGCTTGCCAATTCTGTGCTAAGGAGACAGAGATTTGTTGGCCAACCAACTTGGAAAGTCCCAGGCCAATTAGAGACCCTGTCTCTCTCTCTCTCTCACTCACACGCACGCACGCACGCACGCACGCACGCACGCACGCACGCACGCACCCAATCCAGAAACTCCTAAACCAGTGAAGAGCAAAAAATAAGAAAAAAAACAAACAAAAACCCATTTTAGTTCAATTAAAAATGCTCAATCAATGAAGACATGAGAAGGAAAAGTGTGCAATTCTTAAGACTATAAAAACAACAGTAAAACTTTAGAAATCTTAATTTTAAATTCTAATGACATTGACTTTCAACACAGGCTTTATAAAAAAAGTTACCTTCCATATCTTCACACTCCTGATCACTCACATTCTGATTATATATAGATTTCTTCTTCATCTCTCCTTGTGAAGATATTTCCTAGAGAATAAACCATAACCATAAGAGAATGCTTATGTTTGCTATATCCCAAGCACATCAATTAACAGTTCCTTGAAAGAAACCACTTTACACATAAAAAAACAAGCCAAATCAGTATGTGGCTTATTCATCCATTATTATGAGGGGGGTTGTCACGGTTCATGTGCAGACCTCAACTGACAACTGCGTAGAGAGTTATTTTCTCATTGACAGCATCTAGAATCACCTTGTAAACAAATATCTAGATATGTCTGACAGGAATATCTAAACTAGGTTAAAAAGGTAAGATCACCTTAAATAAATAAATGTGAATGCTGCATGACCTAGATTACATAAAAATGAGAAAGCCAGCTAACCACTAGGATGCAATGATCTCTGCTTCCCAGTCAGACTGGACATTCTGATCAATATGACCAGCCAGCATCCTGTTCCTGCCACTTAACTTTCTCCCACCAAGTTGGTATTTATCCCCTTGATTTCTAAGACAAAATAAATCCTTTCTTCAATTGTTTCTTATTAGGTATTTTGTCACAAAAACAGGAAAAGCAATTAACTAACATAAGAAGTTTAATATAACTATTAATTAGCAAGGGTTAAACAATAAATTCCATAACATAGACATAATAACCCAAGCCGATAGAAAGAGACCAACTTAAAATAGAATTATCTGGTAAACTGAAGTTATATGTAGAACTTAAACACTATTCAAAAAACAACAAAATAGAGAAAATAGGTTCACAGAAAATTCATACAAAAAACCCAATGGCATCTGTAACCACATACAAATTCCCCTATCAACATCCCACACCAGAGTAGTGTATTTGTTACAATAATGAACCTTACTTGATTAAATATTATCACTCAATACGTAGGTAGTAGCTTTCACTATCGTACACTCTTGGTGCTGTACAACCTATAGGTTTTGACAAATTTAAGACATCTATTAACCTTTTACAGCTGTGGTGTCCAACAGGTTCATTGCCCTAAAATTCATTTGTGTTCTGCCTATTTACTCCCTCCTATTCCAAATCCCTGATAATTACTGATCTTTTTAACTGTTCCCATAGTTCTGCCTTTACTAGAATATTATCTAGTTAAAATAAAAACTTACATCCTTTTCAAACTATTACTTAGTAATATAGGCATTGAAGTTCCTTTATTTTTCTCAGCATATATTAAGTGCACAAAACAATGAGTTTCATTGTAGCATTTTCATATATGTACATATGAAATATATGTAAACACACACACATATATAGATATAGATATATAGATATAGATATTTTTTTATAGCATGATCATGATCCTATTCATCCCTTCCATTCTGCCCCAATATGGTCCCACTAATTCTACCCTTTTCACTAATGGTCCCTTCTAGTTTTATATCTCCCCTCACCTTTTCTAAATCCCTGAGTGAAAACATGTGATGCCTGCCTAAATCTGGCTTTTCTCACATAACATGATTTCCAGTTACATAATTTTTCCTGAAAATGCTGTGATTTCATTTTTTTTCCAATCACTAACTTAAATTGCAAAAGCAAACCTAAAGCCCTTAAATTTTATTTTTAATCACTAATTCCATAATGCTTGTTGTGTCACCCAAAGAGAAACACTGTATATATAGAAAAGAATTTACATTCAGCACATTAAACCTTATGTCTATTAGAGACAAAAAAACAAAAGACCACTAAGATATTTCAGATTTATTTTGTAACCAAATACTGTAGGTAGCAGTAAAGAAATAGAAGATTTGGGGCTAGAGAGATGGTTCAGAAGAGCATTGGCTGCACTTCCAGAGGTCCTGAGTTCAATTTTTAGCAACCATATGGTGGCTCACACCATCTATAATGAGATCTGGTGCCTTGCTCTGGTGTGCAAGCATACATGCAGACAGAACACTGTGTACATAATAATAAATAAATCTTTTTAAAAAATAGAAGATTTGGTGATTTGTGTTGTTAAATTTTTCTCTTCTAACCCAAACAGGACAGTGATCAACTAAATGGTAATTCTCCCTAATCCACCAATCTTTTTAAAAAGAAGAAAAAAAAAAAAGGAAAACTGGTAACTACACAGGGCAAAGAAAATAAATCTATCTTATTTTATGTATGCTGCAAAATACTTAACATTGTATTCCCCATAAATAATTGAAACTTATTTCTCATAGTGATGTACTGACAGGTTTGTATTTAGTAAAAGATCAGTTCCTGCTTCTAAGACGGTGACTTATTATAGTGGCTTCACATAGCATAATGGACAGATGGGCAAAATGGACATGCTGGTCACCCCTCCAGCCCTTTAGTAAGAGACTAATCTCATCCCAGAGGGCAGAGCACACATGGCCTAACCCAGGAACTAAAGACTCAGCAAGAAATTTGAAGGAGACACACATATCCAAACTATGAAAACCTCGAGAGTTCAAGATTAAAATTAATGAAAACAAATGATCAAATAAACTGATTATTATAAGGAATGAGAACAGACTCTTCATCTACAATAAAGGAGAAAAAGAAAAGTTTCAAAATGCTGTTTCTGAATTTATTGTACTTTATCCTTTTTTAAACAAAGGATAAAAATCTTTGAGTTTTAACTCTAGAACTAGTCTCTTTTGAAACACTTATTTTTTGAAAGGTTTCTTGACACATGATTATCTTCTTTGTAGCAATCCCTTACATATTGATACACATTGCTATAATGACTAACTCTAGAAAGTCATTTTCCATTATAAATAACACTTCCATTTCTTTATTCTAGCAGTGTTTACTATGTGAATTCCTTAAACTCCTCTTCCTAGTTATCCCAAAATAAATGCATTGTATTATGTTCATTAAATAAGCATGTCCCTAAGATAGTATTTTACACTCCTTACATAAGCACTTGATAATTATACTCCTAATTACACAAGCATTTCATAATTATACTCATATGAGATACAATATCAATTCTATTACATACTACATAAACTTTAAAAAAACTGTATTAATACCTTAGTACCAGGCACATATAGACACTAAATATTTCCACTCAGTATACTCTTCTAAAAAAAGATTTCATTCAAGTGTCTATGATCTGGATTTCTGTGTAAGATTTTCATATTACTTTTAGCTACTACTTTCTAACAAGTGATAAACTATCTCACTGACCTCCTTTAGTACCTTGTCAAGAAGACATCTCCTTTGAACATGAAACAAATAACTAACAGAGCAGAGCAGATGTTGGTACCAAGCCTCTGCACATGTTGAGTTGTAAATCTGTTAGTTAAGTATCGAGCTAAGATATTTCATTATAGTAGGAGAAAACAAACTAATCAACACTCCCAATTCAGAATAACAGCTTCTATAGCATTTAAGTACCTATATTAAACTACTATTGTGCATAAGTACATTACATTAATACAATGTTAATAGTTAATTCTGTCTCTTGTTCCATTCCCTTAGTTTTGTTTCGTTGATTTCCAAACCCTTTTAGAACAAAAACAACTTGAAGATACAATAACTGAATCAAAACAATCCTGTTCCACCAAATTCCAGCATGCCACAATTATTTTCATCCCTCAAAACACAACAGGAAAAACTAAACCAACAGCAGTAAAATACTAGCTACTGTGCTAGGATGCAGTTAGGAGGTAGAGTACTTGCCTAGCATGGGGAGAGAGCAAAGAGGGAAGAAAATGGGAAAGAAGAGTTTGCAGTGTCTTCTTTAATGTAGGAAAAGCATTCATTAAAAAAAAAAAAAAAAAAAAAAAAAAAAAAGCCAAGTACAATAAAACATGTCTATAATCCTAGCACTGGGAGGCTGAAGTGGGAGGGCCACCAGTTCAATACCAACTAAAACTGGAGAAAAGAGGGAAAGAGAGTAATAGTAGTACATGCCTATTATCTTTGCATTTGGGAGGTGAAGGTATGAAGATCTAAGTTCCAGGTCATCCTCAGTTAAACAACAAGTTCAAGACCAACCTAGATAATCCTGTCTTAGAAAAAAAACAAAAAACAAAAACCTAGTATTTGATTTTTTGAAAAGTACAACACAGATCATAAAGTTTTTAGCAATCAAGAAATATTGAGATTCTCTACCAAATGTAACCTATCAATATTACAAACTGTGAAGTAGATTCTCAACTGAAATTTTTAACTGGTCAGACTTTCTGTTGTTATGACTTCAACAGCCTTCAGTAAAAACTGACATGGCTTATTAACATCACAAGGTATATCAATAAAATGTGTTAATATCAAAGGGAACAGGGGAGCAAAGTGAAAGCTGAATGAATTCCTTATGAATGACAGGATAATTCAGTCAACATTCTACAAATTTATGTCAAAGCAATAACCCATATATTAATTCAAGTTCCTTAAAGGTGTATCAAAGAAAACCCTAAACAAATAGTTCTTTAAAGTTCAGAAATCCACCCCCCTCCCCCGACCAAACAAAAATATCATTTTTTTTTTCTTTTTATATTTTTAAGACTGGAGTCTTGCTATGTAGAAAAGATAACCTTTTCAAAAAGTGAAATGGAAAAAAAAAAAAAAAAAAAAAACCTTGACTTCCCCTTACATCCATCTTTTATCCTGTACAAGTCATCTCAAAATGGACCAAAGACTTAAAATGGATCTAATGTGAAATTTCAAAGTGCTAGAGCAGTGGCTCTCAACCTTCCTAATGCTGTGACCTTTTAATGCAATTCTTCATGTTGTAGTGACCCTAACCATAAAATTATTTTTGTTGCTATTTCATAACTGTAAGTTTGCTACTGTTGTGAATTGTAATGTGAATATCTGATATGCAGGATTACCTAATATGTGACCCCTGTGAAAGGGTCATTCGACAACGCCAAGGGGTCTTGACACCCAGGTAGGGAATCACTATGAAAACATAAGCAAAATACTCCAAGACACATGGGCAAGGATTGTTCTGAAAGACCTTCAATAGCACCTGAAATAATCCCCAAATGTGATAAACAGGATCACAAGAAAGTGTCTGCACAGCAAAGGAAATAATC